CGAAGTGCCTGGATGGAACGAGTCCTCAAGCGTCACCCAACAGGGGACCTCAGTCACCGCATGATATTTGGTTAGTTGTCCTATTTGAGCTGCATATTTGTATGTAAGTTTAAGATGATTTTTTTTACTTTTGGGAAAGCTTGGTGGAGTTATAATTGGAACAAAAGCAGAGGTTTTGCCTGTGATATTGCAACTTGCAGGTGCAAAAAAAAGGATTCCAGCCAGGGAATCATAGCTGAGTGAATACAGCATGAATAAATATAAAATAATTGTTTTTTCCATTGCTTAATCAATATTATATAAAATAAAGATTAATTTATCTTTGACCATGCTGTATTAATATAACATGGGCCGGCTGTCAGTTGTGTGAATGAGGTCTTAAGCTAAATTAAGGTTTTTTCACTTTTCTACACAATTCCATCTGCTTCCATCCTATCCATACGCCATCTTGTGGCCTTTTTTCAAATGGCACGTTGAGATTTTACTAACTTTCGTTGAGTACAACTTTGTGACAATTTAAGCAAAGTAAACTTATTTTTTGACAGTCATGTTGTCTTTTGAGTTACAGTTCTTCATAATATTAAGAAACTGACCTAAAATCATTATTTTGTATTGCTTTGGAAAAAATGTGATCTGCCCCTTTAAGAAAAAGTATCGGTAATTGGTATCGGCGAGTACTTAAAAAAAAGTATCGGTACTCGTACTCAGACCCAAAAAAGTGGTATCGGTGCATCCCTAATAAAGTGTGAGGTATGATGAGGTTAGCTGTACTCCTAGGTAAGGGAGTGTGGATATAGACCAGCGGTATGGGAAGCTCTTTTTCAAGGCCTCAACCAACTGAGCTGGTAGGGAGATGTTAAGGGCCGTAGATTTTGAGTCATTGACACAAAGTCCCGATATGGAGGCAAATTGGTTAAGGATGAGTTTAAGGTTAGGGAGAGAGATAATGGGGTTGGTGATGGTAAGAAGGGCGTCATCCGCGAACAGGCACATTTTATGGGTATTACCTGCGTAGGATATGCCAGAGATGTCAGGGGAGGAGCGAATCTTGCAGGCCAGAGGTTCTAGGATTAAGGCAAAAAGTGGTGACACGGGGCAGCCTTGTCTGGTTCCTCTAAGTATGTTGAATGTCGGTGAGCGATAACCCGAATATTTTACATGTGCTGTGGGCTTGTTGTAGAGCGATGCTATCCATGTGAGAAAGTGTCGGCCAAAACCCCATCGTCGGAGGGTGGCGAAGAAGTAGGGCCAGGACACCATGTCAAAGGCTTTTTTTATGCCTAAGGACAGGAGCATTGCGGGAATGCGCTGTGCCTGGGCAATATGGGTAAGCAGGGTTATCCTGCGGACATTGTCCCCTGCTTGTCTACTGGGTATAAAACCTACTTGGTCTTGTGTTACTAGTTGCCCGATCACTTGATTCAATCGATTTGCCAAAACTTTAGCGAGTAATTTTACATCTACATTCAGTAGCGATATAGGTCTAAAATTTGGGCATTCAGAGTGGTCTGTGTTTGGTTTGGGTATCTTGCAAATTGATGCAGAAAGGGAGTCTCGGTTTATCTACTCCACTAGGAAGCGGTCAGTGTCTTCTGTTGATGTGGGATCTGGTGCCGAATACAGGGATGAGAGATGTTTGTGGAAGAGATCTAGGATAGTAAGTGGGTTGCTGGTGTGAGATCCTGTTTTTTATTGTTTTTATTTTATATTGTATGTTTACTGTATGTATTTTTGGGTTGCAAGGCTTCCCTTTAAGACTGCATTTAGCACGCACTTGAGTTTACCTGCATTGACTTCCATTTGACTATGTATTTGGATTGCAGTTGCCATGGTGCTGCACATGTGATCAGCTATGACACCAGCCATTTGAGGGCTTGGAAGTTTGGATGAGAGCTGAAAGAATCACACTGGCAATCTTGACAGTTGGCTTGCTGTGAAAGTAACTGTTTTGGGAGACTTGGTGGGTCTAGTTCCACTTTAATGGGATTCACCTCTAAGTTTAGATTCTTTTTTAATCCTCCATGATTTGAACCTGGGCAGATTTGCTTATCTCTGATTTTGAGTCATCGTCCTGTTTCGATGAAAACTTCAAAAAGCTATTTCTGTTACATAATATGTCCACTGTTTCTATTGCTCATAGTCCACTGTTGTCACTATCAGACATGCCATCTCTCTGTCATCTCTTGAGTGCATGCATGCGGACAGGAAGAGGCTGCAGGAGATTGGCAGCAACAAAGTATAGAAAAGCAGTAAAAACAATGGCAATTATATATGATATACAGTTCTTTGTTAGGGTTTACATCTACTGTACTTTAGTTCCAATCTCTGCAGTGGTTTATATTCACCTTTCATTTGCGCTCCACCATTCCATTCATCTTAAGGGGAGAAGAGAGATGCCCATTGCTTCCAGATATAGTTGCAACTGAAGTACTCTCCTCCCTCCCATGTGACAGTGCTAGTGATTTGCTATTGGTTAGTCAGGAACCTGTGCTATTACATGGGGCAGAGAAAAGAGTCCTTGAAGCGTACAGAGGGCTTTTTCTCTTTGATCCCACTGGGAAAAAAAGGCAGGGCAAAAATAAACTGATGCTGGGGCCAGCTTTACAGTAAAACGTACCATTTTAAAAATTGCATATGAGCATGAAAAAAACAAGTATTTTAAATGCTTGCTGTATTTTTTTTCTTACTGCAGTGTTTTTCATTTCCATAAATTATTTTTATTCACATGTAATGTCCTTTTGAACTTGTTAGCAAAATTAACTAATCAACTCCCTAGCACAGCCCCCTCTTTCCTTGCACATTATATGCCTCTGCCCTTCTAGGAATCTTCTCAGATTGCCTAAAGAGCCTTCACACCAGCCTGCACACTAAAATGGGCTTTTAGCTATGGTCCGGCATCCATTGTGTATGGATAGTGAGGGGTGCTGGCGTGCATTATTACACTGTTTACCTTTAAAAAAAAAATGAAAAAAACTTTACTGAAATACCACAAGACACTGTATCTTTATTGAACTGCATAGTAATGCAATGTAATGAGATGCAGTAACATAAGGTGAAGTGTGGTGCATCACAAAAAATTGCAGCTTCAGTCTACATTTTTACAGCAACCCACCTCAACACTATGGTGTGAACAGGGCACATAGGAAACAATTGTTGATCTGTGCAGAGTAGCACAGGTCAATGTAGATGGTGTGAACAAGCCCTAATTACTTTCTGAGCTGGCCTAGGTTCTTCTCCCCTCATCTCCCTACATAAGCTGCCAGGGCGAAGGGAAATACTATAGAGCAGGGGTAACCAAACTTTGGACCTCCAGCTGTAGTAAAACTTCAAATCTCATCATGGAGCTGGAGGGCCAAAGTTTACTACCCCTGCTATAGAGTGTAACTTCAGTGACAACTCTGAGTCTGCTTGGGCTGCACCCAGAAGCAATCTCAGGGCTTTTAGGTGTCTATACAAGGTAGGCATTTACAACCTAAAATCTGTTAAATATTTTTGTTAAAATAAATGCTGTAGATGTCTAAAAAAATAAATAAAAAAAAAATGCTGTAGGAGGAGGGCGCATGCACGGGGCTTAGCGGGCCGGATGTCTGCTCTGTGAGCTCCGCTCCTAGACGGATGGAATCTCCGCTCCCCGTAGCAGACAACACCGGAGGGCTATACTGGGGACAGCTGTATAGATCCTCCTTGGTGGGGTGACAGGTTGTGATGGCCGGGGGACGTCCAAGAAGAAGGACACGCAGCCCCGGACGGGTTCGAAAACTGCAAGCGGCAGTAGCAGCAAAGCAAAGATGGCGGTGGTGCCGAGCCCTTGTGGAGGCAATGATACAGTACAGCTAGGAGGAGAGGAGTCGGCTCTTAGGAAGAAGGTAGTGGTCCTTATGGACTCAGGTGGAGGACCAGGAAGACAGGAATAGGCGAAACAATATTTGCATACGCGGTCTCCCTGAGGCTACTGGAGCATCGGATTTGAAAGCTACGGTACTGGGAATCTTTAACACCCTCCTGCACAAACCAGTCTCCGACCACATTGAATTGGATAGGGTGCACAGAACACCGGGCTTCCGCAGACCAAACGCGACGCAGCCGCGTGACGTGCTGTGTAGAGTGCACTATTTCTCTAAAGGAGGATATCATGGCTAAAGCCCGTGCAGCTGGCACGGTGGATTTTGATGGAGCACAGCTTTCACTGTTTCCTGACCTCTCCAAACGCACGCTGGATAAACGCAGGGCTCTGCGTCCCCTCACTAAGGCGTTATAAGATGCGGGTCACACCTACCGTTGGGGATTTCCTTTTTGTCTCTCTGCTAGGAGGAATGGGAAGACGCATTTGTTCCGTGCCCCTGTTGATCTGGAACCCTTCCTCGCAGCGATCGAACTGCCACCAGTGATCTTGGATGCCTGGCCGGATGCCCCATTGCCCCCTTTCACCGTTGTCCCCTTGGGAGAACAGTGGCACCTGGTCTCGCCGAAACCCCGCAGAGACCGCAGGTCATCCTCTAAACCCACCCCCCGCTAATGTTCTAGATGCACTGTTGGGGTCCGCTGCCCCTGACCTAGGCCTAGGTCACACTCCTTGAGCCCTCCGACGACCTTTGCCTGATGGACTGTGGACTCCAGACTTTCCTCCGGCACGCTTTGCCCACCAATTCCTGGGTTGGGAATCCAGATCCTTTAGTCCTATTTGTCAGGCCCTGCAGGCGGGTAACATGCGGCCACTTAATGGGTTACTAAAGGGGGGCGCGGTGCTACCAGGTAGCTGGTTGGCATATTTCCAATTGCGCGACTTCTTAACGGGGCTTACTACAAGAGGGAACCCCGGGAGGGAGCTTTTTCCCTTTGAGAAACTATGCGTCTCCTGCACGGACGATTTCCACTATCTATGGCTTTTTGCTTTCGGAACGTTCCTCACCTACCCCCTCCTTTGTGAGGGAATGGGAGAGAGAGATGGGTGGTGATCTCACAGAGGAAGAAATTGCTAAATCCTTTGCTTTAACGCACACCATGTCTATAGCAAGCAGATATCAGGAGAAAAATTACAAGGTCTTGTCGAGATGGTACTATTGCCCCACTAGACTTCAGGCTATGTACCCGTCTGCCTCTGCACAATGCTGGCGGTGCCTGTCGCATCTGGGAACGATGCTGCACATCTGGTGGTCCTGCCCCCTGTTGACCCCATATTGGAGAGCTATCTTTGATACATATGATCAGATTTTTCACACCAAGGTGGACAGGTCCCCAAAGGTGGCCCTCCTGTCTGTACTACCAGGCTCAATCTCCGCCTCTACGAAGGGCCTCCTCAGATTTTTCATGCTGGCGGCTAAGGCAGTTATACCGCGTCACTGGAAGTCGAGTACTCCCCCTACTATCCGTGAGTGGGTGATTGAAATGCATGCTTTATGCCGGATGGAAGAACTCACTGCGGCTTTGTACCAGCGGGATGCCAAGTTTACTGCTACTTGGAGTGTCTGGTTGCATTTCTGTACAACGAAGAGCTTTAATAGTCTTTTGGCTGTATAAGTGAGAGACGGTGGTGGCCACGTCCTTTTTGCACTAGATGTATATGCTCCCTGCCTTCTATGTCCTTCTGTATTGTACTGTTTTGTTTACTCTAATTTACAAACTTCCTCAAAATAAACATATTCTTTAAAAAATAAATAAAAAAATGGGGGTTTGGCCCACATTTTATGGGCATACTGAGAGTGTTATATGATCATACATCGGCACAAATAAAGATGCAGGGGTATTCATCGGAGAATATTCCGATATTCCAGGGCACTAGTCAGGGATGCCTGCTTTCCCCACTGCTTTTCGCATTGATGATCGAACCTTTGGCGATCGCTATACGCGAAAGTGCAAATATTAGAGGGGTTTTTTGTGGCCTGTGTGAACATAAATGTGATCTATTTGCTGATGATTTGTTATTATTTATTACCTTGCCCTTAATAACATTGCCCAATGTATTGAAATTATTGACCCACTTCTCTAAAATATCCGGATTGGAGGTTAATACATCTAAATCTTTAGCTCTTAATGTGAACCTCCCTCGAGATATATGGTTTAGGTTAAAGGAAAATTCTGCATTTAATTGGGCCGATAACAGGGTCCAATATTTAGGAATTAAGCTTACAGCGTCTTTCCCCAAATTGTATCAACGCTATAAAAATGACTATCTTACCGAAAATATTATAATATTTTCGAGCTTTACCCATTGCAGTGCATAAGCGTGACCTACAAAAATTCCAATCATGTATATTTAAATTTATTTGGGACAATAAACAGTCTAGGCTGTCAAAGAAGGTACTGTATAAGTCTAGACAGGCAGGAGGATTGGGGGGGGTTCCTAATTTATATGAGTATTATAGAGCAGCACGAATTGCACAGCTTATAATAAGGGGTATCTTCCTGATTGGATTTCGATGGAGTCATTATGCGCTTCAGGTCTCTCTATTGATCAATTAAAATGGATGACCCCGAGACAGAGACCGGTGGTCTTAGCTCCGGCACTCTCTCATTCTTTAGCGGTATGGGACCTTGTGAAGGAAAGCAGAGAGTTTGTCTCAGTATATACCCCTCTGGCGCCTATTTTTGGTAACCCTAGGTTTACTCCAGGGAGGCAACACGGTATGTTTCAATGGTGGCAAGATAAAGGGTTATATCGTATAGCACAGGTGTTTAGGGAGCGTAAACCCTTGACTCTGAAATACTGTCAGGAGATTTTACACATGCCCACATGAACTGTTCCGATTTAGGCAATTGAATCACTTTTTGGCATCGTTGCCGTAATTCGATAGGCAGTTCTCTACGGTATATGAGAGATGGTGCCTAGGGGATAAGGGTAAAAATGGGGTATTTCATTGCTTTATTCCCTTTCTAGTGGAGAGGAGAAACTGCCCTATATGATAGCATGGGAACGTGATCTGGCAATTGACATTCCTAAGGAGGTTTGGCAAAGTTGTAGCAAGCGGGGCTACTTGGGATTACTTAATGTATCTTTGATAGAAGCAAACTATAAAGTAATGTCTAGGTGGTATTTGGTCCCTTCCAGGCTGGCTAAGATCTACCCGGAGGTATTGTCTGCCTGTTTTAGGGGATGTATACATCCGGGTACTATGTATCATATATGGTGGCAATGTCCAAAAATTAGGCCCTTCTGGAACAGGGTTTATGCGCTTATATATAGAATCACAGGGGCTCGTGTTACAAATGAAGCACAATATGTCTTGCTGAATTATCCGATTCCATGGATTACTAAGATTCAGGATAGACTAATCTTTTTTCTTTTCTTAGCAGCTAAAATTACTATAGCTAAAGCCTGGAGGTAACCAAATGTCTCTTTCAAACAATTTAAATTAAAAGTGTCGTGGATTATGATACATGAGAAGATGAATAGTATGCTCAAGGATAATGTGCGGAAATGTGAGGCAATATGGTCTCCCTGGATGACTTATAATGGTGTGAGAGATGATATATAAGGCAGGATGGAGCTAGAGATGAAGGGAAGGAATTAATTCCTTTTTAGGAGTCTTGTTATTTTCCCCCTACTCCTTTTCAGCTCTTTTAATAGGTTTATATTATTGTAAGAAATGTAAGGTATATGAGGAAACTGTATGGTGTATATTATAAATGTATTGGGTATGATATTAATTTCTATATAACTTGATAATAATGATTTAAGTAATATGATAAGTGCTCACAATTTTTTGATAAATATATTTAATTGTAAATTTTTTAGAAATAGAGGGATATATGGTTTTAAATGGTAAATATTATGGAACTTTAAATATTTCACACAAAGTTCGGGGAGAATTATAAAAATTATGGTATATGTTTGGGAGGCTCCCACAGGGGTAAAGGATGGATAAGATAAATGACGTAAAAATTGAATGTTTTAATTAATAATGTAATTATTTAAATTTATACTGTATAATAGGTACTCACAATGGTGGGAAGGTTATTTGGGTAAGGGTTGAGAAGGAGTAAGGAGGAAGAAAAGGCGCTAATGACATTGGGGAATATATGAATGTTTGTTTTTGTTTGTTTGTTTGCCATGTTGATAACCATGAAAATAAATAAAAGACTTTGAAAGAAAATAAATGCTGTGATGGCAGGTGCACATATTGGACCTGTATAGAAGTCTATGCCTTAAGCTGGCCATACACCTATAGATTATCTGCAGATGTTCTATGGTAAGATGGAAAAAGTGCAACAGATTCCTCCATCTACGCTAAACTGTGTGGATGGAGGAATCTCCCACTGGGCCAAACTTCAGTATATTGCTAGTCAGCCACGTTGGCTGTCAAAATAGCTGAACAATCAGATTGGATGCAGGCATTGTTCAGATATTTTGAGAGCCAGTGGGGCCGACTAGCAGGATACTGAAGCTTAGCCCAGTGGGAGGTTCCTCCATCCACACAGTTTAGTGTAGATGGAGGAATCTGTTGCACTTTTTCCATCTGACCATAGAAAGTCTGCAGATAATCTATAGGTGTACGGCCAGCTTTAAGGGAAAGAGCAATTACTCTAATTTTGACACTAATTTTTATGTTCTTTTCTGTACAGGTATTGTATTGAAGACTATCTTCTCAGCATAGCTAATGTGCAAGATGATGACCAGGCAAATTATACATGTGTTATCCATAGTGAACTGGATTCAGTGAACAGATCTGCTCCTTTAATCATGCTCGGTTAGTATGCAGAGACAACCTAACTTTAAAATAAAAACTCTTCTGACTGTGAAGTTGAAATTTGTCTCTCGCTGGATTGTATATTAAAAAAAGTAATTTAAGTTTAACAATAGCATTGGATATTGCTTACCTGTGGACCAGTGGAGGTTAGGTCTTCCATCAGGTAGGTCTCGTCAACCTTGGTGAACCACAACCTGAGGGAGGGGCAGCACGTTTGCTTCCACAATAGTGGAATGCATTGGCGGGAAGCATTCAGGAGGTGCCTAGATAATGATTTTTTGTATTTCCCCGTAGACAGGTTGCTGAGATGCAGCAGGCATGCCGCAGGGTTGTCCGTCAGATCCACCATCACCAGGTCCTTCATGGTGGCGATCACCCCCCGCCAGAAGGGGAGCAGTAGAGGGCAGGACCAGAATGTGTGTAATAGCGTACCTAGGGCGCTTTGGCATCTCCAGCACACTGGTGAAGTTTGGGGATACATGGCATGAAGGGCTGTTGGGACCCGATACCACCGGGATACGATTTTATAGCCCAGCTCCTGGGTCTTGGATGCAATGGAAGAGTGGTGGCAAGATGCAGTATACGGTCTTTCTGAGCCGGTGTGAAAGCGGTGTTCAGATCTCTTTCCCATTTAGCCAAAAATATCGGGGGAGATCATCATGGAGTAGAGGGCAGATATCGCATGGCGAGTGGGTGTCTCCTCTTTGCATACCTTTTCGAACGGAGTCAGAGGTCTGGAGAGCTGCTGGTGGTTGGGTATAGAGAGCAGAAAATGCCTCAGTTGGAGAGCACCCCAGTGGTCTAGGGGGGTTCCGTTAGGCAGCTAAGCTCAAAGGCCAATAGCCAGCGGCTGGAGAGGCATAGGTCGCCTATTCTGAATTTGTTGGCTTCACGGAGGCGACGAAAGCGAGAGTCATTGACGCCTGGCAAAAAATCCGGGTCGCCGATCCACTGGGGTCAGAGGTGATGGGAAGGGAGAGATATCTGTGGAGCGGAAGAGCGATCTAGCTATCAGGAGCGTGGGTGCGATGGTAGGGTGCGAGCTTGTGGAGGGTGGCAGGGAGGTGGAGAGCCAAGGTAGTCCAGCCAAAGCTGGGCTGGTATTGTCTTCTTCCATGCCCACCCACTGCTTAGTTTTCCGGTGGCAGCACCAGTCCCAGATGCGCGCCAGGTGGGTCGCCCTGTGGTATTTGGCCAAGTACGGGAGCCCGATGCCTCCCCTGTTTTTGGGTAGGGTAGTAACGGAGTAGCGGATTCTAGGGGAGCATAAGACCATAGGAAGGCCGTAAGCATTTGACGCAGGCGGCGGAAGAATAGTGGTGGGATGTGGATTGGAAGGGCTTGGAATAGGTAGAGGACTCTTGGTAGAGTTGTCATCTTGATGGCATTACAGAGGCCAAACCACCAGAACAAGAGGTCTTGTTTGATTTTCTGGAGCAGGGGGGCAAAATTGAGCTCATATAGTCGAGTGGGGTCTGCCGCTATAGAAGTGCCTAGGTAGGTCAGGGCGTCCGAGGACCAGGTAAACGGGAAGGAGGATCGTAAGCGAGCCACCTCTGCTTGAGGGAGGGAGATATTTAGGGCGGCTGATTTGGAAACATTTATTTTGAAGTTTGAGAGGGAAGCGTAGCGGCCCATTTCCTGCATAAGAATTGGAAGGGATGAGGATGGATCAGAAATTAAAAAGGTCAAGTCATGCGCAAAGGCGGTTACCTTATGCTCACCTGACTGTTTTACTAGACCTCGGAGGTCAGGCAGGGATCGCACACGGCAGAGGAATGGTTCCAAGGTGAGGATGAATATGAGTGGGGAGAGGGGGCATCCCTGCCTGGTGCCATTGGAGATGGAGAATAAATCAGAGCGGGCCTCGTTCACACGGACGGCAGCCGATGGGAAGGAGTACAGTGCCGAGATCCACCGCAACATACCAGGACCCAGGCCACTCCACCCTGTCAAACGCCTTCTCCGCATCGGTGGACAACAGCATTAAGGTGACTGGGTGGAGCGGGCACAGTGTATTAAATTGAGCACTCTAGTAGCGTTGTCCCTTGGTTCCCATCCCGGGACGAAGCCCACCTGGTCCAAGTGCACCAGGCCAGGGATGTGTGGGAGTAATCTGTTGGCCAGGATCTTGGCAAAAATCAACAGGTCTAGGTTAAGAAGAGCTATGTGTCGATAACTACTGCATTGAGACGGGTCCTTACCAGGTTTGGGTATGACCGCTATGTGGGCACGAAGGGAGTCTCTGGGGAGAGAAGAGCCCGTCAGGATAGAGTGGTACGCAGCTAGAAAGTGGGAGGAGAGCGAGTGGGAGAAGGTTTTTAAGTAAGGCAATGTGTAGCCGTCGGGGCCAGGGGCTTTACCCGATTTGGCCTGTTTGAGCGCTAGGTCGTATTCCTCCTGGGAAATCGGTGTTTCTAGTCGGTCCCTTGCCTCCAGCGGCAGGGTGGGCATACCAGCGTCACTGAGGTAATGCAGTAGGTTTGTACTGTCAAAAGCGGTAGGGGGTGTGCCCGGCCTCGCGCTAAGGTTGTACAAAGAGCTGTAAAAGTTCTGGAATTCCCTGGCCATGTCGGCAGATGATGTCAATTTCGTTCTTGCACTGGAGATTATATGGGGTATGAACGTCGTCTGGCGGGAGCCTCGTAGGGCCGAGGCCAGACACCTGCCCGGCTTGTTAGATAGCTCGTATAAGGTGTGACGGCCTCTCAGGAGGCCCTGTCGTACTTTGGAGAGGAGGAGGTCGTTGTGTTCTGCTCTAAGTGAAACCAATTCTTTAAATGAGTAGCCGCCAGGGATTTTTTGTGTGTAGCTTCTAGTGCAGTGGTGGCGAACCTTGGCACTCCAGCTGTGCCAAAACTACAAATCCCAAGATGCATCTGCCTCAGGGAGTTGTGGCTGTCAGAGCCTTGCAATGCCTCATGGGACTTGTAGTTCCAAAACAGCTGGAGTGCCAAGGTTCGCCATCACTGTTCTAGGGTGTGGAGTCTGGCAAACAGCTGGGCCACCTTCACTGCCCCCTCCCGTTTCTTACGGGCACCATGCTTGATCAGGACGCCTCTGACAACGCATTTATGTGCCTCCCACACCACCGAGGGTTCAAGGGTCGCAGAGGTGTTTTCTAAAAAGTAGGAGCTAATCGTGGAGTCTAACTCGGAGCGGATCACTGGGTCCTGGAGCAGTGATTCGTTCAAACGCCACGAGGGGCTTTTGGGGACACAGGGGAGGAGTTCCAACTCTATGTGAACCTGGGCGTGATTACATAGTAGGATATCTCCTATCAACGCGCCGGCGACCAAAGAGAGGTCCTTATGGCGAAGGAAGAAGTAGTCTAGGCGCGAGTATGTGTTGTGGGCAGAGGAGTAGAACTTGTGGGTGCATGATGCGCCAAACATCGGTCAGTTGGAGGAGGTGTCGCTCAGACCTGAGTTTCTTGAGGCGGGAGTAGGGGAGGTGGGATGCTGTTCTGGACACATCTAGAAGGGGGTCAAGTGCAAAGTTAAAGTCGCCCCCCACTATTAGCATGCCCTCCTCGAACTCAAGGATAAGCGGCACTATCCGTTGCAGGAAGTAGACCTGGTCTGAGTTGGGAAGGTATAGGTTTATCAAGGTAACCAGGGTGTCACCAATCAGGCCTTTTACAAACAGGAATCTACCCTCCGGGTCAATCCTAAGGTGTGTAAACGTCCACACCACCGATCTGGACAGTAGAATGCTCACCCCTTTGGACCTGGCGATGGGGGACGGACAGTGATAGGAGGTCGGGAAGTTCCTATCTCTAAGTTGGGGTATTTTGTCCGCTTTAAAGTGAGTCTCCTGAAGAAAAGCCACTTGTGTGCCCGCTTTCTTCAGATCCCCCAGGAGCCTGGACCTCTTCTCAGGGACGTTCAAGCCTTTGACATTGAAGGTGGTGAGCCGGATTGAGCTTGTAGCAGCCATAATGGAAGGGGCCTGACCCACAGCTGAAGTGGAAAAAGGAGGAAAAGACAGGTAGCTATGTAGTGTGGAGTAGGAAGGGCAAGGTCAGGCGGGCAGCACCTAGACCAAGATAGGGACGACTACTATAGGCATATAGCCTAGGCAAATGCGGAAGTATACCCTCTGATCCAGAGATGGGAGTGTACCACCTATTAGGGGTATGTGATTAGAATTGAACAAGTGAGGGGATGCTCGGGGAGATGCAGTCACTTGTACAGGACACGGTAGATAACGTAAAAAAACAGAACATATGTGTTAACATAAAGTAAAATCTAGAAACTAGGAATTAGTAGCTATAGGCCCAAGGAGCAACCACATGCACGGGGTGGGATCCCCCTGCACCCGAAGTATCTCCGGCTCCGGACCCCCCACAGGAGAGGGAGATCAAAGCACGCCCGAGAGTATGGAGTGGATGGGGAAAGTACTCCGCCACCCTCCCACAGAGGGAGGGTGGGGGAGGACAACCCAGCCCTGGCCCATGGGGGAGTGACCGAACACTGTCTGGAGCCCTCCAGCCTAACCAGGCTTTATGTGGGCAACTGTAGGGTACTGGAAGGACCCGTGGAG